CCAACAATACACGGAGAGACAGAGTCACAAACGTCAGCATTAGAGACAAAGTTGGAACAAGAGCATGCAGGGAACATATTGAAAGACAGAGAATGAAGTGGTTTGGCCATTTAGTAAGAATGCAACCGGATCAGATTGCATATAAGGCCTTTTACAGTCGAACATCGGGAAGAAAGGCCAGAGGAAGACCCAGGAAACAAATGGATAGATGGAGTAGCTGAGTACGGCCAGAAGATCCAGAAAACTGTCACTCAAATCACGCGAGAGGCACAAAACAAATATTTTAAACCACGACACTGGGCTGCAACCCGGTAAAAGTGAAGAAGACAATAGACAGAGATAGAAGAAAAATTAACTTTGTCAGTTACACTTTTATCACGTTCCGTATCACACCGTGACTACCTCAGCTTTCCTCCATTCCTTCCTGGAACATGCACTCGTGTTCGTCACTGCCAAATGAACAATTCTCACCCAGAAACATGTGAAGCAGTCGACCCCGAACCTCTACCTAATGAGGTGTCAGTATCTACCTAGATAACCAAGGCTGTTGCCATTGATCTGACACAAGAACGCGGGAGTACATTGCGTGCCTAACGACATGACCTGCCTGCTCTGGTGCTGTAGGTCTGGCTTATCACAGAATGTATCGTTTGGCGGCCGGGCTTGTGTTCCGCGGCGCACTTCTTTGGCGCGACTTGGGAAGTCTGGCGGGTGTCTTGCGTACTGAAATTGTCTTTCCGGTATTTTGAAAATCAAAGCAGACGATGTTGTTTATCAGTACGAATAGATTGATGCAGTTTTTTTTTTTTTTTTTGAGCTCCTTTAAGTTCCGACCCCAAACATGGAAAATCCACAGCTAACGGGAGAGTCTAATATTTCAGGGGATGTTAGATAGTCTGCATGCAGTCGTGGTACCCAGGCTGCATGCTTTCGTGGGACCTAGGCTACACTCTCTCGTTGGACCTAGGTGTGTTAGGATTGGGGCCTGTTCTAGATGTTTTGGGGTCGTTAAAGGTATCAGAAAGCCGGGAAACCGAGTCTTACTACCCTCTACAATGTTGTACTGTCCTGTGGCGTCAACTGCGGTAGGATATTATTAAAGAACATTTTTTTTTTATTTTCTTTTTTATGTCGTCTTTTTCATCTTCTTCTTAATCATTTAGAAAATAGGTCATACTTCATAGAAACATTGCTAATCAGATGTGAGAATAAACAGACGAAGAATCTCAAATGATGGAACAAGACTAGATAATTGTCCAGAATTAACGGACAGCCACAACTTTCCTCCGGAGTTTAAAGCTTCTGAACACTAAGAAGAAAAACAACAATATTTCGGCCACATTAAAAGACAGTGTATTATTTCTAAGCTGAAGACAGGAACGCAGAGGGCAAGACGTAGACTGCAATCTATTCGAGGAGATCGCATTAAGAGATGAAGGAACTGGGGTCTTGAAAGATTGCACCTCCAGTGCAAAAGACATAAATTATACGTAAGATCAATTGCATCCAACCACTAAACAACACGAGGATCCTTAAGCGGAACTATACTATAGTCCCAGTCGAAACTAAACTATAGTCCTAGTCGGAACTAAACTATAGTCCTAGTCGGAACTAAACTATAGTCCCAGTCGAAACTAAACTATAGTCCCAGTTGAAACTAAACTATAGTCCCAGTTGAAACTAAACTATAGTCCCAGTCGAAACTAAACTATAGTCCCAGTCGAAACTAAACTATAGTCCCAGTCGGAACTAAACTATAGTCCCAGTCGGAACTAAACTATAGTCCCAGTTGAAACTAAACTATAGTCCTAGTCGGAACTAAACTATAGTCCCAGTCGAAACTAAACTATAGTCCCAGTCGGAACTAAACTATAGTCTTAGTCGGAACAAAGCTGGCACCCCAATCAAAACTACAGCTCTCATATCTATTGTTAAGACTTCACACGCTAAAAACATGAGCGCTGTAAATTGAACAAGGAAAAAAAAAGGAAATTGGAAGCGGAAAATGGGGTAAAGAAAACATATAAAAGAAAATATTCTTAAATTTAAATTTCCATCCATGACAAGCATTGGAGATTCTTTGACTTTAGCAAGTTTAATCTTTTGTCAATTGTCATTCTGTTTGTTTCTTGCTTTACGAGATTATAATTTTTATATTTCCCTCCCAAAAATAACTCTCCATGGTTGCCCGGATGTTTGTTTCTGCCAGGCACATTGACGAATCATCAATCATTACCACGGCGCCGTGGCGAACGGTTTTGCTTTTTGTCATTATGGCAGTCCTCTGTTGATTCTGTTCTTTCAGGCAGGCTCTGTTAATTACATTTCTATTGTCCAATCCTGCGCCTACCGACTGCAGACAGAAAGAGTCTGTTCGCTCTAGTGTGAAATATGGTGCAATGGTTAATGCTAGACGAAGAAAGCAAATATGCTTGTTGAATTCCCAGTTATTAACTTGATAGTTTTTTTTGTGCTCATCAGAAGGGTTTGTATTAATAAGCTGCACATTTTAGTCGAATACGCTTGGCTGCTCGCTCCGTCGTCGTGTGTTCGAGTCCTCGTGGAGCTGGAGTTTGTGTTAACCTGACATTGGGACCATTAGATTGAAACGCTAGGGAGCATAGGAGTATATAGAGAAAAGGGCACCTTCACCCCACGGCTGCAAGAGCATATTATCCATACATATATACAAAGTGTCGGCTCTGTGGCTGTCGATGCGAACGCTTCGTAATGCCGGGATGCCGGGTTGGATCCCAGTTGCGGGCCATGCGCCTTTCGTTGGTTTCGACAGTGGTATCAAGTAAGCCGACTGTCCAGAAAGCAATGGCAAACTACTGGACGTAAATTTGCCTAAAAAAACCACACAACAGCCAGGGGCTGTTGAGGTTGGTTCTGCAACGTCCTGTAAAGGATACGCAACTAACCTCATATGCAAAGTATCCCAGTTGATCCTAGACATATATACAGGGTATTCCAAATGATCATAGACATATATACAGGGTATTCCAAATGATCATAGACATATATACAGGGTATTCCAAATGATCCTAGACATATATACAGGGTATTCCAAATGATCGTCGACATGTATACAAGATATCCAAAAAGTAGGCAAAATGAACTTAACATTAATAAATTCTTCTTCATTCATTCACCGGCTCTAATTCCGACGGAAAGTTCTGGTTTTCTCACCCACTTCAGAACTGCACATCCGTTTTACAGATTTGACATATTTGCAGACAGTTAGTTCCTTGTCTCTCTGGCAGGGATCACCGACTTCGAAGAAAGCCCTAAATTAGTCGGCTCTTGCGATATGCTGTTTTATATGTAGGCAGTGGGACTATTTTTGTTTTTTTCCACAATGGGGTTCCGGGGACCCACGCGGGGATTTACTTACACACTATGCTCCACAAGCACGCTCTACATGACTACCATGATTTTGAAAACGCATATCGGTGCATGTCCTCCCTTGCCGAGGAACTTGTTTGAGGACAGCTGGACTTATGCTTGTAATGGCGTTGGTGATATGTTTATTTGTGTGTATTTATGTAAGCTCATAGGACACCCTGAGGGGATGTGGATGTTGATCCAAACACCTAGCGAATGCCGTTTGGTCTATAAACATATACAGATATACACCATATACAGATTCGTATCAACATGTAAAAGAGCAGTGTCCAATATGCTTCTAGCCATGAAAAAGGGGTCCTTTACTATGAATAAATAACGTAGATGGGACTATGGTCTCGGTTAAAGTGATAGCTCCAGAAGAAAATAATAATAGTAAAAAAATAATAATAATAATAATAATAATAATAATAATAATAATAAGAAGAAGAAGAAGAAGAAAAACAAAAATAAGATGGGTGATGATTATGAAGGTGAGATGAAGATAAAAGGAAAAGAAAGAAAGAAATAAAGAAAGTAAGAAAGTGGAAAGAAAGAAAGTGGAAAAGAAACAAAGAAAGAAAGTGGAAAAGAAAGAAAGAAAGTGAAAAAAGAAAGAAAGAAAGAAAGTGGAAAAGAAAGAAAGAAAGAAAGAAACAAACAAAGAAGGACAGAAAGAAAGAAAGAAAGAAAGAAAGACAGACAGACAGACAGACAGACAGACAGACAGACAGACAGACAGACAAACAGACAGACAGACAGACAGACAGACAGACAGACAGACAGACAGACAGACAGACAGACAGACAGACAGACAGACAGACAGACAGACAGACAGACAGACAGACAGACAGACAGACAGACAGACAGACAGACAGACAGACAGACAGACAGACAGACAGACAGACAGACAGACAGCATGCCAGCCAGCCAGCCAGCCAGCCAGCCAGCCAGCCAGCCAGCCAGACAGACAGACAGACAGACAGACAGACAGACAGACAGACAGACAGACAGACAGACAGACAGACAGACAGACAGACAGACAGACAGACAGACAGACAGACAGAAAGACAGAAAGAAAGAAAGAAAGAAAGAAAGAAAGAAAGAAAGAAAGAAAGAAAGAAAGAAAGAAAGAAAGAAAGAAAGAAAGAAAGAAAGAAAGAAAGAAAGAAAAAAGAAAGAAAGAAAGAAAGAAAGAAAGAAAGAAAGAAAGAAAGAAAGAAAAGAAAGAAAGAAAGAAAGAAAGAAAGAAAGAAAGAAAAAAGAAAGAAAGAAAGAAAGAAAGAAAGAAAGAAAGAAAGAAAGAAAGAAAGAAAGAAAGAAAGAAAGAAAGAAAGAAAGAAAGAAAGAAAGAAAGAAAGAAAGAAAGAAAGAAAGAAAGAAAGAAAGAAAGAAAGAAAGAAAGAAAGAAAGAAAGAAAGAAAGAAAGAAAGAAAGAAAGAAAGAAAGAAAGAAAGAAAGAAAGAAAGAAAGAAAGAAAGAAAGAAAGAAAGAAAGAAAGAAAGAAAGAAAGAACATTAGTAGCAGCATTAAAAACATATTTACAGTTTGTAAATTCAGTGCTATATTCGTTGACACTAGATGTAACGCTTTCTCGTCTCGACTGTCCACAGACGAATCTTTCCCGCCTACAAAGTGCGCCTCTCGGGTCTGGACAAAAAGTCAAAGTACTTCCTGGTTCTGGACATCATGGCTGTTGATGACTGCCGCTATAAGTTCCACAACGGCAAGTGGACAGTGGCCGGCAAAGCTGACCCAGAGATGCCCAGGCGATGTTATGTCCATTTAGACTCTCCTTGCACGGGAGAGCAGTGGATGCAGAAGGTGGTCAGTTTTCATAAGCTGAAACTGACCAACAACATTTCTGATAAAAATGGCTATGTGAGTATTTTGTATTTTTCTGTCCAGTTGTTATTAATTATTTGTGTGTCGTCTTCGCAATAAAGGTTGGCTACAGTGCTGCCTCTGGCCCTATTAAGTGGCGCGGCCCTATCTCTTACACGGTATGACTCTCGAATTACAGTCCAAAAGCCATGAGAGCTGCTTTCCTTGTTTTTGTTTTTGTTTTCCTCTGAAACGTTTGCCATTTCAAGTTAGTGAATTTTCCAGCGTGGGCTGGGAGCCCTGTTGTATTTTATTTAGTGAGTGACTGACGCTCAACCATACCAGTACCACACAACGAGCGATTAACACACAGTGACACAAAGTGCCACCATTCGGATGAAAATCCAACAGGGTACAGCCGCCAGCTTTTATTAGGGCCTCCGATGAGAAAGGAGTAGGGCTTCGGGAAAAATAACCCCCATATTCGGACAGAATTAACTGGTGCAACGGCAGACTTGTCGCATATGAATAATCCAGATCTGTAAAACGGGTGTACATTCACAATTCAAGTCCTCGATGAAGATAAAAGTCTAGGAGTGGACAAACCACCAGAACTTTCCGTCGGAGTTGATAACCGCTTGATGCTAACAAGAAGAAGATAATATATATATGTTTGTCTGTCCGTCCGTCTGTCCCCATCCCATGCCATCTTTGTCGTTCCTTCGTTATTGTGACTTATGGACTCATCTACCTCACGATTTGCTTGCCCTCCCGTGACAAACCATGTTAATTACCCCTGCTCCATCGACACCCACATTTCTGGGGCGAGTCCTAGCACGCCACAAGACACGTTGGAAATGACGTCGTAATGTAACGTCTGCAGTACTTTTGGCCCCATTTTTCCGCTGGGAATTTGAAGACCAATAAACATAGCAGTGTCTGAAGAGAGATTTCCTCTTGTCAGTGCAGACGACATTAGAGACATGTGCGAAATTATCAAGTAATTTAAAGAAGAAACTCAACAATAATTGCCTAATTGTGAGAGTTCTAATGATTGTTATGTTCTGATAAATGCTAATAAATGAAATGATTTGAAAACACCACGACGGTAAGACAAAGGTGGTAGGAAAAGATTAGGGTGTATTGGTATGTGTGTGTAAACGTGAATAAACTGCAAGTAAAGTTAGGGACTCTTTTTCCACGCTTTCATGCGTATTGGGCGTATAGGGCGCGACCTATATTGTAAAGACTATGTAGCCAGCATCACTTTGGCTGCCTTTACTTACCATAACTTTTCATAATACCCATTTAAGGCTGCGTTTAATTAAAAAAATAAGTAGCCCATCTAGATTCCGATTTGAACCCAGGTACTTCATATCCGCAGGCCGGCTTCTAACTGCTAACTACGACGACTCCCTTCGGTCCATAGGCAGGCTTCAATCTAATAACTTCTCTACTACTAGCTATGCACGCTACCGTTAACCTCGATTAACATGCTAGCTATTTATAACCACAACAATGATTCCCAAAAAAAACCTCGCAACCGAACGAGCAGAATACGAACACTAATACATCAGACGCCGCAGTGAGTCACTTAATTTCTCCGCCACTCGAGCTATCCACATCCACGCCATCCACCCAGCCTCACTCAAGTTTCAAATTAAGATGTCGCACTAGATTTTCCACCTCCTGCATGCCAAATTCTTCAAGTACTAAAAAAAAATAACAACAACGCACACAATGAAAGATTGTTATATTCCCGTGGCACCATACGTTCTACTCTACTATAATGATGAAATTATCTGTATGAGTTCAAGACAGTGTTAGTTCACACCTGACCTCGTCGGCACCAGAGCTAGGGGCGCTGACACTTAGAAAACATAGGAAAGGGCCCTTAAACCCCCCCCCCCCCCCGAATTTTAATTGTGCGGTAGGCAATTGTGCAGACTGGCAGTCTAATAAATAAAAAGATATTTGAAATAATATAAAACTCAAAATAACACGAGAACAACTGTATCAGGGAGCCGTTGTGGTCTAGCGGCTAGACGCTCGGCTGCGGTTCGGAAGGTCGTGGGTTTGGATCCTGACACAGGCCAGACTTTTTTTTTTTAAAATTACCTTATCTCCCGGGTTGACCCAGCCTTGAGTGGGTACCAGGCACAGTCCTGGGCAGTAAAGGCGAGTAGCGTGACGCTGACCGCATCACCCACCAAGTGCCGTTTGTTCTATACAGTAGAGGCCTAGCCCTATACACCCAATACCCAGAGGGTCCTCTACTTTACTTTTTACGTTTATAACAGTTTCCGGGACTAACTAGCTCCCTATTGAAATGTCCAAGAAAATGTTCCCTAAAGGTTATGTAGGAACCGATGCAAAGGTACAGACATGTAGCTAGGCTAACACCAGATAGTGCACCATAGAAAACCCTGTCAGTTAGACATAATGGAAGCAGAGCTAGAGGTTTATCACGCAAGCGATGGATAGACAGTAGTGAATACCAGCATCTGCATAGCACATAACCAAGGCTGGCACCCGATGCCTCTTCAAAACCTGTTGTGGATTTCAAATTGTACTATAGACATGGCGAGTAAGACACCCATTTTTTCGGGGTGCCTATTTGACCATGTTCTTAGTGGACTTGTTTCTATAGCTAGGCTCTTACGCCGTCTGGGGGTGACAAGTTCGATTCCCCTCACTGTAACTATAGCTTCGATTTTTATGTTGTCTAGTGTGTTCTTTAATGTTTCTATTTCTTTCTATGTGTGCCGATCAATACATTTTCTGGTACTTTATTAATTTGAAACCTGGCGAAAGGTAGAACAGGAGAAGAAGAAGAAGGCATCCAGAGGTCAAAGCTCCCAGGTTCTGACGCCTATGCTCGAGCTCCACCAGGTAAGCGACCCCCAGCAGTCAGCCAGCCAGTTGAGGGCGCACGTCGCACTTGTGATTGATTAGAGGAAATGCCCGATATTGTATTTGAAGTGAGACGGTGCAGCGACGTGCTAGATCTAATCGTAGATTGGGCCAGCGAGAGCCTGTTGCTAGGTGTCTTTTAGTTCAGAGAGCTGTTGGGTGGTGTCTTTTAGTTCAGGGAGCTGTTGGGTGGTGCCATTTCAGTTCGTGGAATTGGGGAGAGGTTTCCAAATTGACACGGTTGCTCAAAGTTACAGTTTCGGGTGTAGATTGTTGGCGCTTGTCGCTATAGTAGGGGGTAACTCACTGTTAAACATGCTTCCCTGGCGGCGTGAGTTCCAATGGGACCTTCTGCAGGTCAGGCACCGTGAAACGCTTTTGCTAAACTCTTCCTCACAGAACTGTACAATAATAATAAATAATACGCCAACAATCAATATACCATAATGTGCAGAGAAACATATATTCTACAAGTGTTATGTAATTGTGGCACCGTTTGTAAATCACAGCAGTAATATTTATTTTATTAGTACACCACTGTTTCCATAATTCGTCTACACTAAGCAATTATAAAAATACAATACCTTATTGTCTTACAGTTTAAAATCATTTTCTTGTCTGTGTTGGTTTCTTATTCCTCTTCTTCTTCTTATTATTATTGTTGTTGTTCTTACTATAATCATCATTATGACAGTTATTTTCACCATTATGAAAGTATCTGTAGAATTCATTAGTTCTTCTTCTACGTCTTCTACTTCTTTTTTCTTTCTTCTTCGTCGTCTTCTTCTTCTTCTGATTATTATTATCATTATTATTATTATCATTATGAAAGTTATTATCACCATTATGAAAGTATCTGAAGAATTCAGTAGTTATTCTTTTTCTTCTTCTTCCCTCGTTCCAAAACCTAAATGTCGCGTGCCCATCCATTTTACAGATCTGACTTAACTGTATGCAGATTGGTGGTTACTTGCCTCTAGGGCAGATGCACTTCGACTTCGAATAAAGTCTCCTCTTTGTCGACTCTTACGACACGCTTGTTGGGGAGGCATTGGTCTATTCTTGTTTCCCCCCCCCCTCCCCCCAACAATGGGACCCTGGAGCCCACATGGGGACCTTCTTCTTCGTCTTCCTCTTCTCCTTCGTCACTTATGCTTTGTGACAATATTGAGCTGTACCTGGTTACAGCAGAGCCAGAATGTTTAATCATTTTGAGCGACACATCCGACTTCTTCAGCATTTGTTGACCAAATTAGCCTTCCTGTATGTTCTTCTATTCCTTTGCGAGTCCCCGCCCATCCTCTCCTAGAAAGACCTGTGAGGCACAAAGGTGGTTCACCCAGCCCTTCTAAGGCCATTAGAATAATATAATACAGAAACATTAACTATAAGGAACACAGCCTTCTAATGGTGTGTGCTGTCCAGTGTGTTCTGTCTCTACATCTAATCCTTCAGAGAAATTCCACAAAACTTTAACCAGTCCATCAGAACGTTTATCCTCCTCCTCGTCACCGGCTTGGATAACATCTCACTGACCACTGAACTTGACAAGTTCCAGGCGCCTACTGGGCAATGTTGACACGAGGTCGGGCTTTTCCATGGAACGAGCTGTATAACTTTCATCACGATTCTTGGACCAAAGGCCGACCCTATACTTGGTGGCCATATTAGACATGCCATAAACAGGAATGCATATGTCGTAAAGATGCCAGAAATATAATTTTACATCGGTGTCGTTAATCGTGTTTGACGTGGGCACTCTTTCATATCGTCTGGACGCCGTCTGTTCATTCTTTGACTAGAGAGGGATTTGGCTGGTGTTGAAAGAAACGTTGGGAATATATTTCTGTGTGCACAGTGTCCGAAGTGGTTGCTGTTTGATTTAAGAATGTTAAATAAAGATAATACAAAAAGCATGTCTTTGTTGTGTTTGCTGATTTGAGCGGTGCTTGTTTATCATTGGCAGGTTGGGTGAGTGGTCAAGTGATGTATGTATGTGAATGCGTAGGTGTCTTTGTCCGTTGTTCCGTTGCTCAGTATCGGTAAAATCTGGTTTGTACCCCCCCCCCCCCCCTCCTTGTTTTCCAGTGCAGACATGGTACTGTGGCGGCGCCCTGATTATGTTTTGTGTGGGGGGAAGGGGG